GAATTCTGGAGGAGCAGCAGGTAGTGAAATGGGGGCGTACAGCTTCCTTGCAGTGAGTGGCTAGCTTGGAGCATCTACAAAAACGGATCTGCAAAAATGTTAGTCCCCATGTAGGTCATTCCAATGTCGAGCTGTGACAAACAGCATGACTCAAACTCTGAATGATGGTTTTGCTGGATAATGTTTGAAAATAAATAAATAAGTCGTACTATTATTTATTGTTCAAGTCTGTTGTTCTTTTACTTCCAACATCCTGGAACCTCAAACTGTTACATTTGAACTTCAAATTTATAAAGGCAATTTCCATGTAAATTGAAGTTCCTGCACATCTCATAGTGCGACATCCATATCAGCTGTCAGACACCCAAAATATGCCCCCAAGTAAGAGAGGTTGACAATTTAGGTGTAAGGGTGACAAGATGAAGAGAATGGCTAGTTTTCTGGATGATTCCTTCTTTGCTTGTGCTGTAGGGTCATTCTGTATGCCATTATGATCTTGTAGGGGACCTTGAGTTGAGGGAGCACCAAGCCATTTCTAGGAGGCTTTTTCCTTACTTGATGAATTAAATAAATTGCATAACTTGTTTACTAGGATAGATCACTTTGTTTAGGTCATCCATTTCTGATAATCGACCCAATAACCTCAATACAGTCTATGATACTATTTAAAAAACAATACTCTGTTAATTCCCTTTACCGAACAATTGACACCAAGCCACCAATTACTGCACCTACCATCCATCCAGATGATTGCCCAAGGTTTGAACTGAACTAAAACCAGGTTTATTTTCTAATTTCTTTCCCTTCATTTCCAGTCTCACCATCTCCACTTCTTGCCATCTTTCTGCTGAAGCATAGACATTTGATAAAGCTACGTAGTCTTCACTAGTGATAGCCAAATGCACAGATCTTAGTGATGGCTGGAGTCGAAGTAGGATCTTACCCACTTTCTCACCCATTGCAGTATCCCCATGAACTTTGCATGCACTTAGTAAACTCCTCCACAAAATTGCATCGGGTTTCATTGGCATCTCTATTATAAAATCATATGTTTCTTTCAGGAGCCCAGCCCTGCCAAGAAGATCTACAATGCAGCCATAATGTTCTATCTGAGGCTCAAGCCCAAACTTGCTCCCCATGTTGTGGAACAAATGAAGTCCTTCTTCAACAAGGCCTGCATGACAACAAGCTGAAAACAGACTAGTGAAAGTCACCGTATTAGGTTTAACACCAGAAGCCTCCAT